AAAGAGGTCCCTATGACCAGCTGGTATCAAGGTCCTTTTCCCTCCCCCAAGTCCTATTCCATCCTGAACTAATTGACCACAATCCACAGGGCTGGGAAAACAATTTCCACCATGGTGATTTGGAACCTGATATTTAGTCCAAGTTTTTCCCAGCCCCTTTCTGTGTCAAAAGAGGCCCTCCAGTCCTGTTAGAAAACTAGCACCCAGGCCAGCTTGGCTGCCACATCAATGCTACACTTACAGCAAAGCCCCAAGTCATCAGTCATCACCAGGGAAATGTGAGCAGGGCAGCGACACTGGGGACAGCCCCTGTCACCCGACCCCACCCGTAAGCCCTGGGAGCCTCCTCTTGAGGGATATCCAGGGACTTTTCTGAAGTCATTACTTTCAGACTAATGTCAAGACCGTACAAGTTGACGAAGAGAAAATTCAGGGTTAAAACACACCAAATGCAGAGCTACCTTTTTAAAGCCCTAAGAGTCCTTTGCCTCTTCTTTCCAACTGAGATTCCAGTACTGGCCAGAATTCCAGCTTCTGGGCAACTGAACACAGATAGTAATCTATTATAGTTGGGACAAAGCACAGGTTGGGGCTCATCAGATCAGAGATTGGCTCTCATTGTGGTATTAATAAAGAGAAGTGGGACCAGCAGGTGGTTATATCACTGGACTCCCACATAGTCGATTGTGGTTCAAGTCCCAGGCCCAGCAGCTTTCAAACTCACAACGGGTGCATGTGTGTATGTGCCCAAAATCCCAAGAGGAGATTAGAGGAGAAAGAATTGCGGTGTGGCCATTCCCCTTAGAGAGTGATTTCTCTCTTTCTGTCTCTGTTTCTCTCTGTCTCTCCAGCAAGTACACACACCCTATAGCAAAATCTCTCTAAATAAAAAAATAATAATAAATAAAGAGAAGCTCTGATAATTGCCCTAAACTTCTCAATACTTAACAGAATGGGAGTTGGTGCTCAGACTGGGGGGGAGGGGGGTACCAAAAACAGTGTAACACAGCAGCTTCACGGCTTCTTCCACATCAGGGCACACCTAGGAATTACTATTTCTTGTGCAACACATGGAGTAGAAGCTGATCCTAGCCAGAGGGGACTGACTGGGGACTTCAGCTGCCCTTAGGAATACAGAGCTCAGTACCCCAGCACATCTGTGACCACCTGTAGCCTACCAATAGGGAAGCCCAAGACAAGACATTGGGCTAGTTAGGGCTCTTGAGATCAATGTCCAAAAGAAATCACTCATGCCTCAGACCGCGGGGCTCTCAAATCTTGCTCACAGACTGCGGGTCAGATCAGGTGTCTGCACCAGAAAGCTGCAGAGCCTGTGGTCTTGACTCAGCCCTGACACAACTTCCCCAGCCAGGGTGCTTTTCAGGGGGGTTTCCAATATATACACTACAGACGGGGGAAGCCCTCCACCCAACAGCAGCAGGCATATCCTGAGACTGGGTATACAGAATGGGGTAACTGGCTTCATTTGATTTCTAAACTTAAAACCCCTTTTTGAGAATACAAGTGATTTCAGATCTGAGTACTGCTAAGAAGTAAACTTAAAGCTAAGCATGTAACATTTACTAAACATATAGTAGATGCCAGACTCTGCTAAGGCTGTGACTTCCAATTTCATTAAATCCACACTACGATCTCATGTGGCAAATGCTATTATTATACCCACTTAGGAGAGGAAACTGGGACTCAGAGTGACTGGTTTGAGGTCACTTTTCTAACTAGTGACTATGAAGGAGACACTATTTGGCCCATTCTTTTTTTTTTTTGGAGAGGTTTTTGCTATAGGGCGCATGTGCTCGCCAGACAGAGAGAGAGAGAGACAGAGAGACAGAAAGCGAGAAATCACCCCCCCCTGGGGGGGGGGGAAGAGGGCCACGTTGCAATCCCTTCTCCTTCATTCTCCTCTCGGGATCTTGGGCCCGCCCGTACACGTGCCCGGCGTGAGTTTTAAGCCACCGGGTCTGGGACTCGAACCACGGTTGACTCCGTGGGAGTCCAGCGACATAGCCATTATGCTAACTGCTGGTCTCTTATTTGGTCCATTCTGACTTGGAAGTCCGCATGTTGAACTGGAGCACCAGTATCCCACATGAAGAAATTCTCCAAATAGCTTTTTCATAATTCAAACCAATTACAGTGAAGCTGACAATCCAAGTAACAAAAGGTGAAAAGGGAGCAGTCTGTTTCAGATCATCAAAAAAAGAAACTAATCTATATTGAGTACTTACTAAGTGCCAAATGCCTTACATGCATGGGCTCACTTTCTTCCCTTTTTTTTTTTTTTTTTTTTTGTGGTTAGAGGGCCCATGTACTCATCAGAGAGAGAACGTGAGAAAATACCCTTCGTGAGGGATGGTCACAATGCAATCCCTTCTTTTTTCTTTTCTTTTTTGAGAGGTTTTTGCTATAGGGCACGTGCACTCACCAGAAAGACAGAGAGAGAGAGAGACAGAAAGTGAGAAATCACCCCCCAGGGGGGATGGTCACGCCGCAATCCCTTCTCCTCCATTCTCTTGGGATCTTGGGCACGCATGCACACGCACCCAGCATGAGTTTAAGCCACCAGGTCCGAGATTCGAATCGCAGTCGACTACATGGGAGTCCAGCAACATAGCATTACAACTAACTGCTGGTCCCCCTTCTTGCGAGATTTTGGGCACAAGTATGCACATGCACACAAGTGGATCCAGTATGCTTTTCAAGCTGTCAGGTCCAGAATTCGAACTGCACAATCAGTCACGTGAGATCCAGCCGCCTTACCACCATGCCACACAGTCGGACGGGACATTCACCCCATACCTACAGACCCATCAGGAATTATTAGCCTATTTTACAGACCAGAACACCTGCACTCAAGGAGGTTAAGACATTTGCTGAAACAGTCTTGCTTTTTCTACTACAATATGCTTCTCCCCAGTGTTCAGAAAGTGCATCTGAGCCTGTAACTGTGTCGAACATCTAACTCACAGTTGGTACTGATCCCAAAGGATAGCAGAAAGCCCATCTTTCAGGACCAGTGGGAACACGGGATCTTTAAGAGCCCCCAGAGAATTCATCTCCCAAGAAAGCATAAATTCCCT